CCAGTTTTTAAGTCAGTTTGACCAGCTTTTAAGCTGAGCCAAACAGGCTCTTAGTATGTCAAGAAATAACAGAGCAAAGTCAGGAATTCAACATACATTTTTGTGGGCTAACTGAACCAAGGCAAGGTGACTAAAGACATTAAAGTCTAGGTACAACTCTTTTTAGTAGCAGAACAAGTTTCCTCTTACTTTTGGACAAAGATAAACTTCTTATTCAGATAATGGTTTTCTGACTTTTAACAGCTAAATCATGTACTCCCTCTGTTTCGATTTGTTTGTCTTACTTTCTTTTTAAGTCTATTTAAAAAAGATGTCTCTTTCCTTTTATAGCAACTCTTTGATTTCAAATTTTCACATAACGTTTTTAAGACCACAAGATTAAATAACATTTAGGTACATTCAACATTTCTCTAGTTTAAGACCACAAGATTTAAAAGTTTTTCTTTACTTGCTTAATCTTCGTGTCAAGTCAAAACAAGACAAATAAATTGAAACTAAGAGAGAGATAGAAAAATCTGCAGCATGCCTACCTTCAGCCTTTTAGCAGCATCCAGGAATATTACTTCCTGCATGCAAGGAAAATGAATCCTCTTGGTAAATCATACTGCATCATGAAGATGACAAAACCCCAAAATCCTATTGAAAGAAGAAGAGAGGAAACAAAAAGGAAGGTATGAACCTTCAAGACAGTATCCGCAGCTTGTAACAAAAAAGAAACTATCATCAAAAGACTCCAAAATACACCACCTTCCATCAAAGAACCAGCACTAGATCCACTGCAAATTAAGTAAGAGACGATCAGGAAATTCAACCACTATTTGAAAGTATGGTTCCTCAATCAAACTTAATTGCAAACCAAGATTTTCCAAAGAGGATAACTCTTGTTGGAAGTAGATTACCATTTCAAAGATTTCATTTATGCATGAGCTATAAATAACGTGCAAGTCCTACCTAACCAAACACAATAATAAGGATAAGATAGAAGTTTGGAGTGTGATAGGATGATGCACACTTTACGGGCATGGTTACTGTAGATACTTTAGAATTATAGAAACATCTGAATGGTTTCTCAAAATCTCTAGTTCAATGACAAATAATTTTGACAAAGGGAACACTAACGATACGTATATGCAGCTGAGCATTATCCATACGTAGAAAGAGAAAGCACAACTACAACACTTCACCATTTGAACTTTTGGTTTTATTGTTATACGTTTTCACTAAACAATATAGAGAAGATAGACGTTGACTTCCAAGCAATTTTATGTGCATCAATAAGTTTTCTAAAACATCACATGACAACAAGATTTAGAACCACTTTAGGAAGAACTCTTGTTTTATTTTTTGGAGTAAGTGCATTCCTCAATGACACTGCATCGCATGAGACTGACCAGCCTCAATGGCACGGCCAAATCCAAGAGGAGCATAGACACACTTTGGAAGAACTATCACCACAAACTAAATAGACGACAAGGCTTCAGATCTCTGTAGTTAGAAACTTCCAGACACTTTTGCAAACTGATTGTTACGTAATTCTCAAAATGCTATAGACAGAAATTATCACATACCTTGCTACAGTTACTATAACACCAACAGACACGAGAAAGCACCCAAACAACTGGTTGAGACTATATCTTCTTCCAAGGAAAATAAAAGACAGGAGAAGTTGCCAGACAAGAAAGCTCTGCAAGATCAATAGATGCCGAGTTAAATAACAGATTCAATTAACTTATTGCAGGAAGCATTACACGAAGTAAGCCTAAAAGCATGTCCATAAAACAACAACAAGCACTATGCCTCAATCTCACACTAGTTGGGGTCCTCAGTATTCATTTGGACCATTTCATCTTAATACTCAATCATTCATTCATTTGTTTTTTTCTTTATCCCAAAACTGTGATTTTATAAATCTTACACTGACATGAAAATCTCTAGACAAACTAAAAAGAATCCTGCCAAATATAGATGGATCTTTTGCTTCTGTTTTGTTCTATTCTTTGCTAAGTCCGAATATATACTTAAGAGTCTGTAGGTTTTTTTATATGAACTGGATCTACCTCATCCACTTTAGCACTTTCAATCATAGTATCAATTCTACAAGTCTCTGCATTTGGAGGTCCAAAAAAAGACAACCAAACTATCTCAGGTGACTTTATCTCATTCTTATCCTCTTCTATGCACACTACTTGTGCCTTATGTTTTATGTGATGAACTTATATGACTGCACATCTTTAGAACATTTGATTGCCCATTATCGAAATCATATGTTTTAGGGTGACCAGCTAATCTTTCTGATGACATGTATTTAATAACAGTGGTTAAGAAATGAACCCATTAATGTCAACAATCAAATTGTTCGATCGTCTTCGTAGACAATGTTCTATGAGATGAGCGTAAAATTGTTTGAACAAATATATTTATGCAGTCAAGCCACTACTATATTAGCACCCACTCCTTATTTTTGGTTTTTGTTTCCCTATCTTCGAAGTGTTAGGTCCTACAATCAAGTTTTCAGGCAAGCTTCCTAGTTTTCCATCAACAGACTTAGGCACTTGAACTGATGGATACATTTCCTAAAAACCTAAAATCATGTGGCTCATTATCAGTATATGCTCTAAGAATTTTTTTTAAAAAAATGAAAGGATACAAATTTCAAATTTTTATTACCTGTGAGAGTACTGGAATTGTGGCCCCGGAAAGAATAGCTGTTTTAGAAGAGAATAATAACAAAGGATTAAGTAAAGAGTCGAAAATCAGCAAAGCTATATAAATTCTCACGTTCAAGATTTCATGAATAGAACAGAAGATCCGGAAATAAATTTCAAATAGAGAGGTCCATGAACTAAATGAAAAATAATAGCTGTCAACAAATTGGCATTTCGAGAGCAACTTGTATAAGTCTTGTCAAAAGGACTCTTCGTATTTTGTAAACAATGAAATGTCTTTAGAGTTTTGCAATTACTTACGGCACTCCTTTGCAATAAACACTTCGATTAAACATAATCTGCTTAGATAATTGTGTTTCATAGCATCTTCAATTTTAAAGGATATCACCTTCCTTTTCAGATTTCTAGGCTAACATTATACGAAGTAAGAACTTCGAACTGAAAAGTATTAGAAGTGCTCTATATTTGCTTTAAATTTTTTACTTTCAACGTAATGTCTTATTTCCATAGAAGTTACTTACCTATTACATAGGAAACATTGCAGGTACCCATCTAATTAGTAGGAGTAATAAAAGCACATGAAGAAATAATGTATTGATGAATATCATAGTTGACAAAGAGACATTCAATTTGAGTAACGAAAATACTTTAAAACATCTATTGGATATTCTAGTAATTTGATTCAGCATAAACATTGTCTAACCTCCAGCTGCCATGCCAGACGCAGCAGCAAGAGCCTCTAATAGACCAACAGCAACATATGGAATTTTTGGAAGGGAAAGCATTTCATCAGTAACCTTGCCAGTATGATACCGTACGTATAAGATAGAGAAGTATATGAGTACATATCTGGGTGAAAGAAGACAAAAGAAGCAATTAAGTTATTCCAACTATTAAACAAAACAATTGGATATGAAAAAATCAGTAACAAATGTGTCTACTAATTTTTATTATTGATGCACTGTACTCAGGTATTCAGCATATCCAGTGAGAAACTAAAGAACTTATACATATGATTTTTATTTTCTTAAGTCTTGGTAATGTGAGTTAAGTGATAGAGGAATATTTACAATTACTTTAGTCACACTTTCAAAGAGTTCATGAATCCCCGTTCTACCGTCCCAACAAGCCACCTCTTCTAAGTTCAGGGGTTGGGTCGGATAGGACCAGATCCTTGCAGTTTCAATACTACCTAAAGTTGGCTTAAAACTGAACTTGTGCGGCTGATAGAGAGTTAATTATAATAGCCAGTTCATCAGAACCAATGTGACATTAATATAACAGTTCTGCTGTTTCTGATTCATCTCATTTAAAGCATCATTTGAACCAAATCTGGAAACCAGGCAAAAAAAAGGTACAGGGCACACAATTCAATCTCCCCTAATAAATTGCATAATAAAGTTATCCCATTCATCAAGTATCACAAACAATGTAGAGCAAAATCATCCTGCAGGAGCACTATTTTTCCAGTGACATTGTATATATAGAGTAAGCATATTGTTCAACTTGTTTGTAGAGGTAATACTTAATCTTTTCCCTTTAAATTATCACAGATTAGAACCACTTCTTATTTCCAACCACAAAGATTAACAATGATGGGGACAGGGATTTAAATTTAAGAAGGAAAATTAAACAAATGCAAATATGTCACACATAATTCTCAAATATACAAAGCAAATTTTCAACTGTTAAGGTAACACTACCATTCTGCCTATGGGATGACCCCGATCAGTGTCATGGTCAAACATAGTGCTTTCTTGATGAACTTGGTTAATAAATAAAGTTGTGCTCATTTTTGACATGATGATAAGCGTTTTATCTTAATAAGTGGTTTGATTCCCAGCACAGACATTGTGTTGAGGTATCATTGAGTAACATCAACATCCTATCAATGGTGAGGCTTAAGTGATGGGCTGAGCATAGCTCAGGTTAGAGTCAAATGTAGCACTTGATGGACTTGGTTAAGAAATAAACTTACTATTAATTACTATAAATTTTGGCACGACGATAACATTTTACCTACACCCCCAATAACTGATGATGCATCATTAGAATGACTAGAAAACTATGGTTATATGGTCCAGTGGGTCCAAGGTGCAGTCAAAAGAATACATTCTAGGTAAAGAAAGTGATAGTAAATTGAAAGAGACTATGCAAAGTTTTATTCTTTCATTGTGAATCACTAATACTATGCATTATCAAAATTGAATTACTATATTACCCCCATCTATGGAAAGAATGACAAGGACTGACACTGACGTAAAAAGGCAGTACCTTTAAATGACTCTATTACCCTTGACATCATGTCACGTGACCTTGGAATTTCTCACGTGGCTTTCCATTTTCTTTATTTTTGTGAAGGAACTTTTGTCTTTCAGCTAAGGGCACACATTACAAAATGGATTTACATGGAGCATTAATAAGAAAAAAATTCTATATTTAATAAGTGAACAATAACAAGATAATATATTTAATATAATTTCATAGGTAGAGTTTGAAGATGATTAAGTGTATGCATAACTTATCCCTACATTATGAAAGCAAAAAAACTATAAAAAAAGAGTATCGATTTACTAAATTTACTTTAATAAATGTGGAATATATTAAATTATTTCTTAATTAATGTATTGCTAAAATACTCGGAGAAAAAAAGGTGAAGTATAATAGATCCAAGGAAATAACAGGAAATAACAAATAGATAGTTGACTTACACTATTCACTGGGGTTACCTAAAATATCGCGGAAGGGTAAATTCTCCTTCGTATTTAAATTTGTGGGTTAATAAGGAAACTACAAAAAAAATTATTAATTATATTTTCAAAAATCATCATTCGATACTTGAGTCAGTAGGAGATAATATGTACTTCCTCTGTCCCTATTTAGTTGTCCACTTTAAAAAAGACACATATATTAAGATAACAATAATTAACATAGTGAAATTATAATTGTACCCTTATTAAATATGATTTCAAAAAAGATGAATTAAAACTTAGAAATTTTCAAGAAGTTTAAATAAATGTGAACTTTCGTGATTGTCAAAATGGACAAGTAAATAGAGACATCTAAGAGAGGAAACATGGACAAGTAAATAGGGACAGAGAAAATACTATTTTTCATTTGATATTCAGTGCATGCATTTAAACTTTAATTAAATCTAGATCGTGGATTTTAAGATTTATTTGGAGATAGTGCTCCTAACAGAATTTTCTACATACCTGTAGAATTAGTTGAGGCGTGATAAGTTGGTTAGTTATATTAAAAATTATAATTCTGTACTCATTTTGCTTTCTAAAAATTAATAAGCACTTGAAAAATATATATTCATAACTAGAATTTCTTTTTTGATTAGCTCAAAGGTCAAAAAAGGAAATAGACTCTGAATAGATATTTTATTATATTTATCTATTTTCACAAATTAGAAAATTCTATCGTTCTTACTAACCTGATGAGTTATTTGATTGAAAATAAATTATTTTAAAATTAAAAATAATATTATAATTTTGAGATAAAATTATTTTACACTTAAAACTCATTTAAAAGGTTAAGATTGAGAATTGTTAGGAAAAGAAAATTACCCGAAAGTGGCAAGTTGAGCCAAGAAGAAAGGATAGTTCTTCAAAGGCACTAACGCCAACTTGTAAAGCACGCGATTCCCTACACCTAGCACCACCGTAGCCGTCGCTGCAACCGCCACCTCCGCCAGTCGATTACTACTTTTCCGGTTCTCATTAATCTCCACAACTTGATCTCCCACCGCACACCTCCTCCTCGTCCTCCATTCCCCATTCTCTCCGCCATCGCGTCCGCCGCGGCGGAACACACCGGTCGATTCCGCTACCGCAATTACGTAGAATTTCGTTCTCCTTGATCTGCTAACGATTGAGTTCGGCCGGCGAGTATTGCTTATGAAATGACGAACAGATGTGGAAGAGAGATAATCCGGTGACCGGACAGCTGGAAGTTTTGTTACCGGAATATGATACCTTGCTATCGGCGACGACAATTCGCCGGTGATTATCCGGCGAGTACAAACCGACATGGTGAGATTGTACAATTATCAATTACGGAAATACGTAAAACAGATTTTTTTTTTCTTTCGGTTATTATTAGTAATAAGAATTTTGAGAAGAAACAATTATATATAACTTTTTTTTTTTGGTAATATGGTAGTGATTACGACAGAGAAACACATAAGGACAAAATAGGAAATAAAAAATTATCTCCATTTTTTTTAATTTTAATTTGGAAGTTACAACGAAGAAAACAGATTATATAGTCATTCACATCATAGCATACGTAAGCATTTTTTAATTTCTAAAAAATTTTAAATTCAAAAATGCGTTCGATAAGAGTCTTCAAATAATTCTTGTTAGCAATAATCATGATAGTAGTTGTGGGAAGCTAGAATATAATATATGAATCAATCGAAGGCAGTAGCTTTAATTTATAATTATTTTAGGTGACAATATTGACTTGAAAAAAAAATAAAAATACACAAGATATCTACTTATTTCATTTGATTTGTGTCATTATTTGAAGTTGACGCAGCCTTTAGCCATTGATTTTATCAAAAGAATCTTGGTGTTTTTTTAATCTTTTAATGTGTGGTCCTTCTTCAGTAGTAGTAAGTAATAACTAGAATATTTTATGTAAAATAATTGACACTTTATTGGTTGTTGTGTTAAATCATTAGTGAAGGTCCCCTACTTTAAAAAGGTAAATGTAGCGACTAGAAGAAAAAAAAAAAAAAAAAGGATAAAGAAAATTTTTAAAACATATAAAAGACAAAAAAACTCTTAGCACTTTTTTGAGAAAGTAAATTCTTAGCACTTTTGACACAACCCTTTCAAAGTTGACCCACATGAAAACAGATTATTCTTTCTTTCATGCAGTGACAACTCCAAACGTCATACATCTGCGGCCTACCTACCACTTAAGTGGCACCAATGAGATCCAGTAAGAAAGCGTCGTGGCTCTTCCACTCCGCATCAATCTTATAAACTGAAGACTCATTTCAATTTGTTTGTATGATTTTGAAAAAGTATGAAGTTGTTAAAAGAGTCACTAAAAGGGGAAAGAGAAGTATATTTTGAAACAAACAAAAGAAGAAAGTAGACAAACAAATTGAAACAAAGAAATACTAATCATTAAGAGAAGATTTTGAGTTCGATCTTGAGGATAAAATCGCTCTTAGTAAAGAGCGTTAAGCCCCAAAGTGGAACTTCCCAGCACGAACTCTAATGAGTAATGAGTAAGGTTCCAAAGCAGATACCTAACACATTATGCAACAATAACAAACCTCGTGCAACCCCACAAGTAGAGTCTAGAGAGGGTAGTGGTGTGTACAGTCTTAAACATTATGGGATACAAAAAGGCTACTTGGATAACATTTGTCTAGTCTAGTTAGTTTATCCTCAAGTTTAGCTCTGCAAAGATAAATAAGCTATAAGATATCAGAGCTTGCAAATTAAAAGGGCTATCTTCAAAAAGCAAAAAAGATCTGTTCCACTAATAATACAAAAAGAAGTTGGAGAGAAAAATTCCTTGCAGGTTTCAAAAATTTATCTTCACAGCAGTAAGAGAGTTGCAGCAACAAACCCATCGAAGAATTATTGTTTCCTTCCTCTTCCTTTCTTAGGTGCTTGTGCCTCCATCTGTTCTTTGCCACCCACTTCAGATATATCAGCTGCAACGAAAAGAACTTGCAGAGCATTACATTGACTGGAGCATCAGGGAGATGCAACTATGCAAGTATCGAATAAAACTTCTTAGGAATCAATACAAGCAAAGATAGAAGCATGTCTAACAAGGTACATGCCGAGTAATTAGTAAAGATTAGATTGTCATTGGATGTTACTTATACCAAACAAACAAGGTACCATGTGAAGAAAGTTTGAAAAAGTAATACCGTCTGGACCACGAGACATCAAGGTAAAAAAAATGTTGTTAAGTTTCTCCATCTTCTTGGCATCTTGGGCTTGGTCAGTCTTAAACTTGATACACTAGCAAGGAATTAAAAATACAAACCATTAGAACAGGCAATCAATATGGAAAATTCTCTGACATACTCCCATCAAGCATGGGATACAGGATACATTATATACCAAATGTCTAAAAAGGAACTATATAACAGAGCTACAGAAGTCCACAGTTATGAGCTACCAAATGCATAAAAGGGAAATATTACATAGAGGAGCAGCAAATGTTCCTCTTTTCATTCACGCGAAAACAACAAGAGAAACCAACATTTGATGCAAAGACTGAATAACAACTATATTCAACACCGTGAAGAAATAACAATGTCTGTAGAGCTAAAGGTAGAGAAGGGAGGGCTCAACTGACGCCTCTTCGCTTGAAAATTTTACTATGCAAGTACGGTGGGTAGTGAAGTTAAGGACAAGAGGAGAAAAAAAGAAGAGTGAAACTCACTTGAGATAACATGTATGGATATCACTGATATAATATCTAATACAAAAACAAATTATAAAATCATCACGTTGTCCTTCATTTAACCCGAAAACATGCAAACACACGCTCTACATAATAGACATTACTTGAAGGTCTGTTTACAAGAAAGATGATTACATCACCAAACTCCACAGGGGAAAGGGCGTATGGCAACACACGCCACCTATTTCAACACTTTATCACATACCTATCAGTGATGCTGCTATGATTCCATACCCTTTTTTGGGTTGGGTTGGGTTTTGGGGGAGGGGGCTGAAAGGTAGGAATAGGAAGGGGCACTAATTGACTCTTTCTAGTTTCAGCACAGAGGAAGTGGAAGGTGATCGATCGTATTTTCTCCATTCAATGACCACTTCACTATCAGAATTATACAAGCCAACTCAAACATTTTGAAACCAAAATAAAACACAATTATTTTAGGACTATCCTCCATTACTTTTCCATGAGAGGTACTTGTAACTTTAGAATATGGGTACCATCACAGTTTCTGGCAGAATGTCCAGTCACCCAAGTAAACTGCAAAAGAGCTGAGGTATGTTCTAATGTTCAAACATAGGAGAACCAAAAGAAATAAGGTTCACCACAAGCTAGGTAATATGAGAAAAATAAAAATATGTTGAGGGAAAAAGGACAATGGAGAGGCCCCAGCGATTTGAGAAATGGCAAAGGTAGCACAATGAGGGACGTGTAGCGCACGTCCCAAGTTTGAATCCTGTTGTGGACCAAGTCTGGTAAAAGGACTGACTCATTATCCATCTGAGTTTCGAAGATGGAAACTACAAGATTTCTTGGATATTTAAAAAACCATAGGGAGAGCTGAACCATAGAAAATATGAGAGAAAGGAAAAGCATGGTAGGTACAGCATCAAGGATCTTAAATGTGCCCTCTACTGAAGTTTAGGCAGACATATGAAGCCTAGATGAGATTCCACCAAAATATCTGGACAATTCTAAATTTGTGATTAGAGAACAAAGAAAATTGGCTAAGTCATCGACTATCCTAAGAAGCTTCACAAAAAGTAAGCTTAAAAGCCATCCCCTAGTAATCTCAAAGAGGCAAAAGATGATAAACAGGTCATCTGATAAAACAGATCACCTTGTCTGTCTGTCTCTATCCTTCGACTCCACACTTCCCCTTCCTTTCTCCCTACCTTAAAAGGCTAAACATTTTCTTTTACTACTAAATCTTTAACCCTCTTTGCCTTTTCACCAGAAGAATCAACTTCAAGAACATCCAAACAAAAGCATGTACATGATATAAGTTTTTAACTTTAAGAAAGAGAAATATTTGCTATTGTAATTATAGCAGAATGTGGTCCAACAATGATACTATCCATTTGAGAAACAACAAAAAATATCATCTGGGTTACTATAATGTTTTGGCCCGCTCAGGTACAAGGATTGCAGATGACTCCACTTTTTAGACCATAAAAGCTTTTCTCGAGATGCTCTCTAATTGTTGGCATCATTGCACCAAAGTCGTGTCTTCTTTAGGAGTTCAACTAGTTGGTTCCACAATCCTTGGTCATAAAGGAAAGAAAAGACTTCTTTTAAAATCAAACATAACCAGACATCCTCTTAATCAATTCTTTCCATGTACTTCTCAGCTAAGCAGTGTTCTCATCTGATTCTCACTTTAACTCTTCCCCGACATTGAATCTCTTTAGAGTTCTACCTTATAAATATAACAGTTGTCGGAATTCTAACAACTTATACACCACAGGAGAAATAGCAATTAAGAAAATGAACATGAAATGAGTGTAACATGTGGTAAGGAGAAAAAGAAAATAGTGCATATGAAATACTAACAGACACAGAACAAGAAATCTCTTACTCATTACTTCACATATAAGCAAAAAATAACACTAAGATATGACATCAAGCATGACTTGGATATCTACCATCTCCCCTTAAAGAATGTCAACTTCCACTATGGAATGCAAAAACACTCATCTCAGCCCACTAAAAAAACTACTACAATATAGACCAAACACCTCAGCCAACCAGGTTTAAAGCTACCCTGCTTCCACATAAAACAAGAACAACAACGACGCCTCAGTCCCTAGCAACAACATTGCTTCATTAAGCACATCTTAGACCCATATTATACAAAAATAATAGTGGTATTATTTAATCACTCTCCTGATAGAACATGACATTTAAAAACATGTCAATTTGAGCCACATCAAGTTTATGCAACCAAAATATTTATCAGAGCCTCCCCAAAATATGAACATCTTCCCTCAATGAGTTTATTGTAGCCACAAAACAAACATATTATGCTTGATCTAATTGTTATTACATCATCTGTATCAATATGACAAATAGCATCGTCAGTTGACTCAATTGCATCGATTACATCCCATAAATATAAAATTAAGTTGATTTTGATCATCAAAACTTAACAGAAGCTGGTCAGTTCTTCATTATGAAGATTGTGAATTGTACTGCCAATCTCATGTCGGATTGCGGTTTTATCACACACACACCAGTAGGATTCATCAGAGAACAACAACAAAAGGAACCCAAACATTTGCACTAAATTGCAATGCAGAGATAGAAAAGACTAACTGAACTCAACCAAAAAAGATAGAAATAATAAAAGTTCAATTCAGCAACCCATGTATACAAAAGTTTCAATTGCATCAATTACATCCCCAAATATGAAACATGTTGATTTCGAACTTCAAAACTTAAGAGAAGCTTATCATTACTTCTTTATAGAACCTGTGAACATCATTGTACTATCAATTTCGTGTGATTGTACCTTCCCCCCCCCCCCCCCACACACACACACACACACACCAGCAGGATCCAAGATATAACAACAATAAAAGAAACCCCAGCACTTGCACTAAATGGTAATGCAGATATAGAAATAGCAGTAACAAAAACAATCAAAACTCAACTTAGCATCCATGTATGCACAATCTACTAATAAAATCGCAAAACTGTAGCTAAAAATCATAAGAAACATAAAAAAAAAAAGTTACCTCTTTATCATCAGTGACCTTGAGAACCAATTTACCATCAGAATGTCTGTATTTCATCACATAGCGAGTCTATAAACCAAAAAAAATACCATCAATACATGAATTTATACGAAAAAAAACAAATGATGAACTCATCGGAGTCAAACAACACTTACTTTCTCGGGATCGGCGCGAAACAACTGTACGGATCTCTCAACAAAATCATCCCAGGAAGTGATATACACCATTCTTCTTCTCTCTGTATCTGCTATATATAAATATATGTATATATAACTGCTAATCGAGCGTTCTCTCGGTGACTGTTGACGCCGGAGCTAAATTCAGTGGCCGGCCGGCGAGGTTTTCAATTTTTGCTCCTTAGGGGGTTTGAAAAGTCTTTTATTGGTATGTTTTGAGTCGCTTGAGCAAAAGGGGAATATTAATGGGCCTGCAAATAACGGGTCCCGACCCGGATTGGCCCATGTAATT